TCTTTAACTACACAATGCCTTCCTGAGTTTTGTTGTACATAGGAAAAAACCTTGGCTAAGACCATGGCACTTGCTTCCATGAGCATGGAAGGAAAAACCCAGCTAGTGACTTAAACAAATTCCAAGAGCAGTGCTGATAGTTTTTAAAAGGAAGGAAATATGGTGTGGGGGACTTTTGCATTCCTACCTCTTTGCAGTAGAATCAGGCCTGGCCATAATTCTCATATACAAAAATTAAACAGCTCCATGTTATTTCTTATGGGACGCTGTAGCTCAGTGGTTCTCAACTTTTTTAATGCCGCGACCCCCAACCGGTCGTAAGTCGAGGACTAAACCGGTCGTAAGTCGAGGACTACCCAACCGGTCGTAAGTCGAGGACTAAACCGGTCGTAAGTCGAGGACTATCCAACCGGTCGTAAGTCGAGGACTTTCCCTGCCCGGGAGCGCCGCGCATGCGTGGTTCCTCCCCCTGCGCCGGCCGAGGCGTAGCTGGCAAGCGGCAGAGACAGAGCAGGCCGACCACCAGCTGGCCCAGCCCAAGGGAGGTAAGGCACCCGCCGGAAAAGGGGAAAAAAATGGCGGACAAAAAAATGGCGGACAAAAAAAACGGTGGACAGCCTTGCTTGGCGACCCCCGTGAAATGGTCACTCAACCCCAAATGGGGTCACGACCCATAGGTTGAGAACCGCTGCTGTAGCTGATAACCAGGAATGGATTAGTAGTTAGTATGACTTTAATGACAGTTTATAAGGGGAATCCCATATTACTAGAAATCTAGTGTGAATTAGTAGACCTGAAAGTGCATGTCTCACCCATAGTCTTAAGGTGACCAACTTTTTTCCAATGAAAAGGAGGACACAAATAAATTGAAGAAAAAATATCATAAATAAAAGAAACATTTTATTCATTGCAACAATAATACAGACAACTTGCATGTGCAAAGTTTGCCAGCCGGGTGTTTTGGCGTGCTCAGCAGCAATTCCTATTGGCTTTCGAAAGCCAATAGGGGGAGTAGCACAGCTCATGCAAAAGTTGAAAAAAAAAACCCATCAAAAAAAGGTGCCGGAATGCCATTCTGAGCGTTCTATGAGAAAAAAAAAAGCTCTGCAGATTAGTCTTCAAATATCAAAAAGGAGGACATGTAGGAGGACACTTTTCGAGGAGGACAGAACTTACAAAAGGAGGACTGTCCTCCCTAAAGGAGGACGGTTGGTCACTTTAATAGTCTGGCTTCATGAACCATATTAAACCGTGATTTTAAAGCTGTGTTTTTGAATAAGCTACATTTGGCAGGATTCACACATGATGGGAAGCCAGAGACTGTGATCTACAAGTTTCTAGCCACGATAAGATTACTGTGAATTGATTTACTTCTTTAACATTATCAATTCAATCATTTTGTCTTTTCTTGCAATACAGACTTTCAGTCATTCCCAGGCTATATGCCTTTTTCTTTCATGACTGTCCCTTCCTATTCAGGTGTGGGATAGAGTTCCCCCATTGCTTTCATTTGTGTGAAAGTTTCCTTTTGAAATTCCGATTTACTGAAATTCTAAAATTCTAAAAAACTGCAAAGCTAGAAGTCCTATCCTTTTCCAGCTGTCTCAAAAATCCTTTTGAACACTGGATATTTTGTCTCCAGCTTTGCAATGCTTTGGATTGATTCCAAAATGATTCTAGTGGTAGTCCCTACAATTCTTTCAATCAGCTGCATCATTGTTGGAGAACCCACAAATGTCCTCTGGAACTGCTGCATTCCAAAGGCCGGGAATTGAAATCTGAAGCTTTGGAGACGTGTCATAATGACTATTCTTTACTAGGGGCATTGATTTTAATGGGAAATACAAGCTAATAGAGGCCTATAGAAACATTTTAAATCATATTTCCAAATTGTGGACTACCTATACCTCACCAATGGGAAGGAGGAAACCCATGAAGGAAACTCCTCCCTTCTCCCAAGCAATTGAATTCTCAAGATGCTTAATTGAGGTGGGTCCTTCATGTCCATCTAATACTTACAATTAATCATCTCTATCTATTCAGATAGAGGTGCCATTTAGATCTTCTGAGTAGAATTCATGGATTAATTTATTCATTATTAAATTTGAACTCTTTCCCCAAACCTAGTGGCTCCCAACCAGTGGTGGGATTCAGCCAGTTCGCACCACTTTGGCAGAACCGGTAGCTAATTTTTTGTTGCCCAGGCCCAGAATGGACTTCCGGAAGTGGCATCCACACAGAAACCGGTTGTTCACATACTTGAATCCCACCATTCCAAAGTGACTGCAATAATCAATTTTGAAATTCACCTTTATGATACTTAAAAAACAAACAAACTCAAAATGCATATTAAAATTTATTTTTGACATTTTTATGCACACTGTGAAAGTAAAAAATATAATTAAAATTATATCTTAATATAATTTAAATAATTACATCAATAAATTATACATTCATTTTCATTAATACATTTAAGAGGCCACAATTCAGAAAAAAAAAATCTATTTCCTGCATGGAACTTATTTAAATTGTTAGATTACATTCAGGAATTCTTTTGTCTCTTGTTTTTATAAAATGTTCTGGGAACTAAAGAATGAAGTAAAAATATTTAATAAATATACACTTCAATCCAGCAGATTGTCAAATTTTCTCTGGGTTCCTCAACATCTTGGCTTTCATTTTGTACATAAGCCGCTATAATCTAAACACCCAACCAAGACCAGCTTGCTGAGATAAATTAGTTTTCTTGGGTTTTTTTTTTCCTCTCTCCCCTTCTTCAAGAAATGGAAACCTATTATAAAAGCAAAATGACTTGTTTGATAAATACATTGAACAAATGCAGAAAAAAACATGATTCTGCAGCACGGCATTTTACAGTATAGTACCAGTTATTACACAGCATTTATATAATACAAGTACTGTACAAAAGGTATGAAAGACAAACAGAGCAATGAAAGACGAGCAGATGAAAAGAGGCAATACTGACCAAGATGAAGCACTAAGGGAAAATATTAAAATTAAACATTCAGTTCAAGAAAGGGCAGGGTACCGTATTGCTGAAGAAAAGACAATTTTAAAAAAATCACAGCAATAGGAAATTTAAAGATACATGGGCGACCAATTTAAGTAAGACAATGTTGTCTTAATAGTTGGACATAATCTGCTAGAGATTCTTCTCTGTAAGTTCCAGTGACATAACACTAACAGCAACAAGACTTTATTAAAAGCACCCTAACGGTACTCTGATTATCCTGAGATTTCTTTTTCCAGCCAGCAATATTTTTCCCTTTCATTATTCATCTTTTAAAAATAATCTTCACACATAACCATCAAAATTGGGCACTAATTAGGGCCTTTTCCCCTCCAAAAAGTAAAACTCTTAGCAAGTAATGTGTTAGACCAGTGGTTCTCAACCTTTTTAATGCTGCGACCCCAACCGGTCGTAAGTCGAGGACTAAACCGGTCGTAAGTCGAGGACTAAACCGGTCATAAGTCGAGGACTAAACCGGTCATAAGTTGAGGACTACCCAACCGGTCGTACGTCAAGGACTTTCCCTGCCCAGGAACGCCGCGCATGCGTGGTTCCGCCCCCTGCGCTGGCTGAGGCGTAGCTGGCAAGCGGCAGAGACGGAGCAGGCCGACCACCAGCTGGCCCAGCCCAAGGGAGGTAAGGCACCCACCGGAAAAGGGGGAAAAATGGACAAAAAAAATGGCGGACAGCCTTGCTTGGCGACCCCCATGAAATGGTCGATCGACCCCAAATGGGGTCCCGACCCACAGGTTGAGAACCACTGTGTTAGACCCTATTAGATTTCAATATTTCTTCAACCATACAAAATATTTAACATTTAACAAACATAATACAAAAGAACTGCATTTTTCAAGTTTTAAGTCAACTACAGAATCTATAATCTACCTGAACACTCACAATAGTATTACACAAAATGTAGTGTTAAGGTGTTAATGTTGAACTGGCCTTCTTTGCATAAAGTGCAATGCTAAAAGAGAGATTCCAGATTTTAAAATCATGCTGAAAACCAGCAAGAGTGGCAGGGTTCTGGATAATAACATCCAGAATTCACACTTGTCCCCTATGGAAGAAAGGCTCTTCCCCACCATATAAGCGATATAGGAAAATAAAAAGAAGTTAGTTACCACATACTCTGTGGAAACCTGATGGCAAATTGAAAAGAAAAATGACTTACTATCTTATTGTTGGAAAATTATTAAACTGCTTAATCTAAAAGTGCATTTTACAGGTATTGGGTAATTTTCTTACAGTTTCTGAAAATAAAAAAGGATACAGATGAAAAATTTGAAAACACTGAAAAACAAATTGTATTTTGGTGGGATTACTTGTTCCTATTCATTTAGTAAAGAGATATATAGGAACTGCATCAAAAAGCAATGCCTTTTATTTAAAGGAAGGGGATATTTTTTTTAATTGAGATGAGATTACCCAGAAAATGAAATTGGGTTGTAAAAAAATTCTTTGTTTTCAAAATCTTACAATTTCTCATACAAAATTCATTTTCTGCTTCCTAATTTTGTACAGTTAACAGAGAGCCTAATTTAAACATACCATAAATTTTTGGTCAATAATATAAAAGTGCATAACTTCCCACTTTTCTATTTCTCATTTATTTAGTAAGGCCATTTCTTGAAGGAGTTAACTAGTTAAATACTTTTTTGATGCTGAATTAATAATACATAACCTGCTTTACCATCATGATGTCATGTTTAAAAAAACCCACTCAAGATTATTGTTTGTGTTTAAAGCAGCAAATCTGTGGTCCTTAATCCATTTTAGAATATCTCACGTATCTCATTATGGTACAGAAAATATAATGAGGAATGAAGAGAATCTGTCCTGCAAATCTAAGCAAGAACCCCCTTCAAGTCAGACATCCTGAATTAAATGTCAACGCACGGGAAAATATACAGAGCTCCATTTGAAATATAAATAAATATTGTTATATAAATAAATTAATAAATAAATATACCAATAGTGATTCTTTCTACAATTCAGTTGACCGCTCTTTGAGAAGTACGGCAGGGCTAATTTCATCTATCGACCTGCTGGATGCACTGATGTTGTTTGTTGCCACGGTTTCAGAGCTGATGACGTGGAAGGCTGTGACAGGGCAGCCCTTCACATTATTGCAGATGAGGCTTTGGAGTGAGGCTGTATTCACGATGTCAAAGCCCACGCTACCCCCAAAAGTACTTGGCTTCCAGTATTCAGGTGAGCAGATGACATTTCCCATAAGACCTTTCAAGGAGAAGGGAGCCCCAAGTTCAATCATGGTCTCACCAAAGATGGCTCCAGGGCGTGGCTTTTCAACAAGAAGAGCAGGGTATAATTCCATAGCATCAATATCTCCATAGAGCTCTTCAAGTTCTGCAGCCATTTCTTTTTCACCTGTAATAAAGATTGTACTCAATACAAAAGAAATTCCTTCTTCTTGATATGTGACTACCTGTACATGTTTCTTTTAAAAGTAGAGTCATTAGCTTATTTTTATTTTTTATTTTAAATGATACATTATCAGTTAATATTTATAAATTTGATAAAATATATTGCTTGAATATTGCGTTTTAATCTTGGTGACCCAGCACAGAACATAGTCAGATCCAAATCAATGGACCTGCTGCTTTCAATTCCTTAAAACAAGGGCGGTGCAATTCTTCCTAGCTCAGGGTCACAATCTGCCTTAAAGCATAGCAGAGATAGGTATTTCATTATTAAAATTAATGTAGCTAATACAATAATTCTGTGTATTTGCAACTGTCTGTTCATTTCCCCCTTGATTAAAAGTTATAATTCAATGGCAATCAAGTGAAGCTTTTTAGGTTGTGTACCCTTTCCTTAACTGGAGATGCAAAGAATTGGACCGGGGACACAATATCTGCTTTTGAGATACACATGCTTGTTTGCTTGCACGCATGTCTTACCAGTAAGTTCTTCAAATGATGTGAAAGGTTTCAGCATAAAGAACTTTCGGTATTCATTCAAGGATCGGTACCTCATCTGCCGGCTTTGATCCATAGAAGCTACAGCTACTTTCTGCACGATAGCAGGAACATTCCTACCTCCAGCTACCTGTTGGCAATAATAACAACATGAAAAATCACAATAAACAAGTGTTATTCATTTAAAGGTTATGCTTATTGATCTCTTGCTCTCAAATAAAAATAAGTATGTAATAGGAAAGATAATATAGTTTATTATACCTTTGGCGTGGATTTCCCTTATCTTATCTGACTACCAAAAGAGAATTATTTTCTAAATTAAATTGATTTGGCTACTTTAGTCACTTATTTGCATTATCCCTGAAAACTATCAAAATCTAATTTTCACAATGAGTTGGGATTTTACACATTCTCAGATCTGGTTTATTAAAAAGACAGCTGGAACCCTTTTGCTGATATCTAGTTTTATATGTGGAATGATTAAACAAATGGAACTTTTTGTCATGTGCTCTGAAGCAGAAGCTCAGAGCATCCTTCTCTGTATAAAAGGAGGATACTTTTCTATGTGTCTAACATGAAACAATGAAATAGTATCCTTTGGTTAACTATTGGCTAACCTCTGTTGCATATGCTACATGTAAAGGCCATTCTCAACATGAAGCATAAGAATATCAAATCATATAAGCTATCTCAATTAAAATTTCAGATAGTATCAGACCAAGTATCAATAGGATTATTCTTTTTCTGTTCTTAAAAGATTTTCAGATATGGTAGTGATTTAACAAAGGATAGCTATGCTATTATAGAAGTTGGGAAATATAGAGGTATAAATAAATAAATAAATGTCTGCTTCCTCATGTCAGTTGAAATGCAATTTTGATAAAGGTGGAAGAAAGAGAAGAAAAGAGTGGGATCCTTGGTGCTCTCTGAGCTTGCTTGTTTTCTTGCAGACGTTTCATTACCCAAACTAGATAACATCAGTAGTTTGGGTAATGAAACGTCTGCAAGAAAACAAGCAAGCTCGGAGAGCACCAAGGACCCCTCAAGTCAACCCTGAGCTACAAATATTCTCCTTTATTAGAGGAGAAAAGAGTCTTACCCTTCCAGCCCTTTGTTTGGAGAAAGACTGCACCATGTGAGAAAGGCCATGTTCTAGCATAATGGAATTGTTGTACATGAACTGCTGGTAAGTGTAGTCTTGGTTTTGGATATGAAAGGTATCAGGTAGAAGAGGATGCCAGTGGTAGAGGGTGTTGAACTCTGCTGCTATTCTGTTCTGATACTGAAATCGCTGGTTGAAGAGAAGTTCTGGATCAAACTTCAGTCTGAAATGGTATCCACTTAAATGTTGCACGTAGTCTTCAATCACAATCTTGATGGTTTCCCCTTTAAGAAAATACACAATCAAATGAGCATTGTAATTTAGATTGACAGCACCAAATACCTAAACCCACTATTCCAAAACGGATTATTATGTGCCTGGCAGAATCCTGTACTGTAATTATGCCAAATAATAAGCAAATAATCCCAATCAATGTAAGAAATGATCTGTCTTGACTAACATTATATTTCCCAGTTACCACAGAATGACTCTGTGAAGTTCAGACACCGATTACCAGTATAATAACCATCTTTTGGAGTTTTCCTTTGGCAAATGGTGTTCAGTTAGGTAATGCAAATTGTCATAGGTTGCATTGATATCTGCAAAATGCATTATAAGGTTCGTTCCCATACACTTTTCTACAACTGTATCTGTTTCCATTCCCCCAAATTCCCAAAGATTATTATTTTCTAACAGTATGCTATTTGGTTCCTTTCTTTGAAAATTCTACAGCTATTCTAGATACACCTTTTTATTCTGAGAAAGTGGGATATGTTTATGTTTCTCATCCTGCCCCCAAACCACTTTTTGATGGCATACTTGAGATCACTCTCAATCCAACATTTCTTTTTGTTCAAAAACTCCTTTACAGTTCAGCATTTGAACTTGGCTTTATACAAACGAACTTCTACTTAACCACTGCAGCTTGTGGATGCTGACAAAACCTTCCCTTTACATTTCTGAATAATATTATTTTTTTTAGATTTCACCCAAAGGTGTATGTGTAATATTTGTTAAATTACCTGTCAAAATTAGTCTGGCAGTCTGAAATAGGCGTTCATCATCCCATTCTGGGTGTTCTCCCTTAAGAACGTCGCAGACCCGATTATGTTCCCGGAGCCACAACGTGGCATACATCATCAGCCCTGGAACCAAGCCAAAGACCTCCTGTCCTACAGAAAATTTCAGGTGGTCAGGGATGTGGGGTGGATAGATCATTTCTGCCTGAGTTTCTTTCACAGTAGGCGGATACATTTCTCCATCAATCATCTGTAATTAAAAAAACCAAAAGTAAATAAAAATTGCATTTTCATACATACAATTTATAAAAAACAGAATTCTGCCCTACTCAATGTTACTTCAAATTTGTAAACTGATGGAAACGTTAGTGAGTTTGAGCCTTCCGTTTTTATTAGATGAATTAGTCCATTCTTTGTAGGGCAGCACTGTCTCAAGTAGAAGTGAAGGAATTTCTCCAGGAAACCTAAACCCACCTGAAATTTTAGCTTTCCATCCTTAAAAAGTCTTAGTTTCATCTGCCTGTCCAAAGTCTCTCCATAGATGTGACTAAGATCAACCTGTTCACAGAACAAAAGACAAAAAGTTAGAAATCACTCTCAAACAAGACCGAGAGAATACCTATAAATACAGTGAATGCCAGCCAGGGATCATTCCTATAATGTTCTAGAGCTCTATATGATACAGTACTGGAGGGGGCAGCAGGAAGGGAACAATAAAAGAGCAAATTCCCTTGAATCAATGAAATTTCAATAGCCCATTATCCAGTGGTGGGATTCAAATATGTGAACAACAGGTTCTCTGTGTAGATGCCGCTTCCAGAAGTCCGTTCTGGGCCTGGGCAACAAAAAATTAGCTACCGGTTCTGCCGAAGTGGTGCAAACCGGCAGAATCCCACCACTGCCATTATCTCATGCAACATTTGAGCACAAGCCAAACAAGCATTCTAAAAACTGCCAGTATTAACCCTGGCCAGATCCAACATTTCAAGTGCTTAACTATATTTATAAAAGTTATATTCTTTGTTCTTCTAAGATGCAAAGTGAATGGTTTTCTTAAAGACATTATTGGCTCTTAGAAGATGTTGACAAAGCCAGTTTCTTTTGCATTAAAATGTTAGATACAAGAATAGTATATGTAACATAGCTAATCTGAATGGATGATATGAAACAACTTAATTCTTTGAGGAACTGATTAGATGACAAAACATGCCACTCTTCCCAAAGAGAACAGATTAGTTGAGAGAAACTTGCTAGGAAGTGTATCTACTGCTACATTTCTGCTGCTCCAGTAGAAATGCTTCTCCAATATTTTCAAGATAATTATTCTCAACACAGCACTTAACAAAGGTTGTTTGCTTGTTACAACTCATCTACTTAAACTTACCCCATGCCCAAGACCTTTTGTGAAGCCTGGTCCTTTCTGAGTATCTGTCTTGAAGTACTGGTGAGTGAAATGCTGGGCAAAGAAGGTGAACATGACATTTGTGCCTTGAGGATCAGGAATGAATTTTCTCCTTAGCAAGAATTTTTCTACAATCACTTTTGAATCTGGAAGTTCCTTCTTGCCTGAAATATAAAGCAAACACTTATTTTCTGCTTCTTCCTGAAATAGAATTCCAATAAGAAGGAAACATAATACTGATGTATAAAATATCACTACTTTTTTTGCAGATTAGAATTTATCTACGTAATTATGCTCCAGCACAATGGAGTGCTTGTCTAGTCTCTTGTCTTAGTTTCAAATGGTGACTAATTCTGGGGAGCCCAGAGGAGCATGCAGCTATGGGGCTGGCTAGTGCCCTAAAGGCCTCCCTTTGCTTTACAATTAATCATCCCTGTCTCTAAATTTTTAACTTTGTTCTGTTCTTATATTTTAGTACTGTACACCACCCAGAGTCCGTCTCTGAGTGAAAGAGGTGGTTCAAAAATGTGAAAAATAAATAAATGCATGAATTTGGTTGCCATTATAATTCTGCAGATATATTCATAGAATCACCCTTGCCCCATTTCTTTGACAAGCTTGGCATAATATGCCATTAGAAGAAAATCTGCTATATCAAGTACTCAATATATGACTTTTTCTAATATTTAAGTTTCATTTTGGCATTTGCTACTTATGTTTCATGACAACTTGTTACTCCATTTTATCCACACAATGAGGAAGCAGTATCTGTTAACAAAGTCTTGTCTCTTATGAATTCCTGATCTATGTTATAATATTACAGTATTTGATTACAATTCCACTTCATTTATGAATTCCTTTTCCTCTAGTCCTCATGCAATGATTTGCTTTCCTCCTTACCTTTCACACCCATAGGGGTAGGGCAGTCATGATCCACTGGTGGAACAGCTCGAGCATAGTAGGACAGATTGGAATAAACTTCCCAGCTTTTGAAACCATGATGGCTATTATAGGTTGGTGGGCTTTCAATTAAGTGGGATCTGGCTAAAAGAGGAAATGAGAAAAATTGTATTAATGTTAGACAACCTGCAGCAACCATCCATACATTATCTCAAACATAAATTTTAAAAAGTATGTCCCAATAAGATGCAAAAAATTAGATTTCAGTTTCATATCTCTTAACTTCCAAGTTTAAATAATACCGTGGTTCAGCCTCAATTTTGCTGTCAGTAAACTGGATGTAATATTTTATCTCACAATTTTATAAAGGGAGCTAAATAGGCTTCAGAAATTATTACTAATTATCTTATCAGGCTATAAGAATGATATGGAAAAAGATGTTACACTGGATATATAAATAAAACCAGATGGTGTCTTAATGAAGGGATATACAAACAACAAACGAAAAATAACTTATATCAGTTTCTTATACTGATTTACAAAAGATATTTCTTAGATTTTTGAAGAATTTTGTGAGAAGGGACAAAGGATAATGAAAAGAAATAAAGTTCTAGGATGTTATTTCAAGGAACTAAAAATCAAGATTGCTAGAAGTAAAAGGAAGGATTTTTTTATTTGAGGAAGGTTGATATATATTTGTTATCTCTGGTAATCCTTAATAGAGTTTTGTTGACCAGGACTGAAGGGATAAGGCTTTAAGAATTAGTTTATAGATAAGAAATGAGATATGGAAAGAAGAGACTGTTGGTGTATTTTAAGAGAAGGTGACAAGTTACTAAAGTTGTTTATACTTGGTGTGATGAGGTCACTATTTTATATATGTTTTCTTTACCATATTTGTATTTTTCTTTTCTATTTTTGTTTATTTTTAATATTTATAATAAATAATTATTTAATATTCTCTTTAAAGAGGACCATTTATTTTTTATTATTTTTTTTATACCCATATCACTGTTGCAGCGACTCTGGGAGGCTTACAAAGTGATACCAAATTACACCAAACTCATATATAAAAAACCAGAACTTCAATTTACTGCAGCTTTGTCAAATGCTATGATCAGCTTTTTATTAGCAATTTTAATCAATGTATAAATTCTCTAGAAGGGACAACTTGCTACAGCTATGATTAAGATTACAATCTTCCTTACTTAAGGAAGCTCAAGATTTAAGAAATTCACTGAGCTCAATAAGACTGATTTCCAAGTATACAAAACAAGATTAGCCAGTACGAGCAATGTAATAGAGTTGGAAGACTTACACATTAGAACGTATCTCATTATGGCATTGTGGAGGAATGGAATGTTGTTGATTATATCCCAGATGCCTTTGAAGTGTGTGAGTATATAGTGTACTGTGTCTGGAGCAGGCTTTAACTTAAGTCTGAGCCAAGTATAAAATTCCGCTGCAGAAAAAATATAGAAACAAAATTTATTAGGAAACTGCCTTTTATCAAGTCAGATGATTGCATGATATACAGTAGTTCAATACTGTCTACTGTCAATATTTCTTTTGCAGACTACTTGAAAAGAGATATCCAGCAGATATTTTTTTAAAAAAAAAATTTAATCAAAGCAAATATAATAAAAATGTTACTCTTTAGTTTGTCAACACCATCAAATTCACGAAAGTTATAGTCTGTAAGTTTGAGCCTATGTATCTTGTTTGCTTAATTACAGATGATTAAAACCTCCCCCACTTACCATCCTTAACCCTTAAATATAGTACACCCTTACCACAGAACACTGTCTCTAGGCTACATAGATAGAAATCTTATTTGCAGACACTTAAAAAGAAATCTCTCCTTAATCTGCCCAGTCATAATCTGTAAAGATTATGGTCTTTCTCTTATAAATTCATTATATCAATTATAATATTTTCAGAAATACATACGCTTAGTGCAATTTTCTCCATAAAAACCAGTCCGTGTACAGTCACATTCATATTGATCAAAACCTTTCGTCATGCAGAAACCTCGGTTTTGGCATGGATTTGAACAGCAAAGATTGGCTAAAATAGAAGTAAGACATGTGAAGTAGTTTGAATTAAAATCCTGTAAAGTCCCAGCAAATTAGCTCCATCAGTGCAAATACACGAATCCTTTAAGTTAATTTTCATTCAGTACCATCAGATCACATTTGCTCTATGAAGCATCTTGCTATACCTTTGAGACTGACAAACCTCATCCAAGGCACAAAATGCCACATGGTAACTAGTTTTAGCAGCCAATTTTTAAAATGCCAAAGTACCGAAAGATCCCAAAAGTGGCTTGTGACTGGGGGGGGGGGAGAAGGCTATCATAGACTGTGAGTTAACTGACTGTTATAAGCTACATTATTAAATACTTGAACATGCTTTGTTTCTCCACTGATCGCTGTTTCAAGATGATATGTTGTTAGATTTACATTCTGCCTCGCCTTCAGGAAAATTAGATGGTGTCCATTTCTTCAAATTTTCTACTTTTTTCCAATCTTGTCTCCATCCCTAACACAGTTGTGATAAGGGAGTATTGCCTCCCAAATTCACCCAGTGAGTTGCCATGGCCGAGGATGGACTCAAGATTAATATTTTAACCATTGTATCACACTAGCTCCAGAAAGGAGTAAGTTGGTGCTATTTAGGCTTTTCATCTAAGGAACTTTTCAGCCTTATTTGAAATGCCAACAATTGATCCTGGGAGTTTTGTTATGAAATGCTTGTGCTCTACCGATGAGCTTTTTGCACTGCAGTGAAATAGACAAACGGTTGAATATTAATTTCAGCACTAGTGGGGAGGACAGTGTCTCCAACCACATCAGAAGATGTCAGGCTAACTTAGGGGTGCAGGAAATGATGTGGGACAATCATAGCTTAGTCCCCCAACAAGAAAGGCTCAGGGGCTGCTTAAGAAAGCCATGCACACATCTGTACTCGGTTGGGGGCTGGGTAATAAGAGATCAGCCCCCAACTTTTCTCAGTCCAATATGTGTCAAACATATTAAAATAGAAATCCAAAGGGTCAGGGAATAAAATGAGGAAAAAACTGTATTTGTTATTCCTTGTGGCACCCTCTTCCATATAACATTTCTGATTTTCTACTTTTAACATATTTTTTTCAGAAAATTATCAATTTTGTCATGTCAGAAAGTTACTTAAGGAACAGAGAATGCATCTTTCTCTTGGGCTGAATCCTGCATCTTTGAAAATCATGAATTCTCCTAACCCTATACCTATTTACACTCTGAGCAAATCCCACTAAACATAATAAAGCTCACTTATAAAGCCAAGCATAACATTTTAAGACTGACATGCTTCCGACTTGCTCATATCCCAAACTGATCTTCTGTGACCAACTGCCATCAAACAACCTTTGCACGTCCCTCATTCTGCGGTGTTTTTTTTTAAAATAAAGACTTCCTCAACCTTTATTTCTGCGTAAAAGTAAAGGCATCAGGAGTGAAAATCATGTCCCTGAAAAGCTTCGGTAAAAGTCAAAAGAGAAAGCCAACAGCGGAAGGAACAAACAAACAAACAAACAAAACCCGTCGGGAAATTTTTTTTAGCAACACTAACCTGCTTGACTGAAAGCCAAGAGAGAAAATAAAAACACGGTTGGAACAATCATGTCCAATTTTGGGTAGAAAACAGCCAACTCGGCGTCCACTTTTCTTTTTCCCTTAACTTCTCCTGAAGTTTCCTACGCTGGGGAAGTTTCTCCGCGCTTTTCGCGAAAAAAAACTATCCAGTTCTGCGTTGACTCTGTGGATGCGAGCCGGAGCACCGTCGCCCTTTATGCTCCCTCGGTGACTCAACTCCTTCCCGGAAGGCTTCCGGGACCGCCCTTCATACGCAAATAGGCTGGAATACTTTTATGTTTGGGGTGGGATTTTCCTCAGGTAATTTCCACCGACTAAGATCCCTCCTCTCCGAGAGGCTCTGCCAAATCCCGGGGGAGGGGGACATGTTGCAAGTGGGAAGAGTAGAAGCGCTTGGGGAAACGCACGCAACACACGCGCCCCCTCCCGCCCGCATTCCCCTTCTCGTGAGGAGAGCCAAGGGGCTCCTTCGGGTTGGGGCTGCCGTCGGGTTGGGGCTGCCGTGTTGGGCGCTCGTAATCCTGGCTTAAAAATCGCGAGCCTCCATCTTCGTGCCTAGAGAGCGCACCAAAACAGTCCCCTCCGTTGATCTGATGGCTTTTCTATATTTGCCTCCGCTTCAGACTGGGCAGTCGTTGCTCCGTCGCCGCTCTTCGCCTCATTCCTTAACTGGATGTGCTTCTCTCCACCATCCCAACTACCTCTTAAATTTCCTAATTAATGTGGCCAATAGTAAACCACTACTTGGTTGCCAAAGCACTGCTTGGTTTTCCCCCAGCTCGGTTTCCCTTTTCTCCCCTTTTTTTCCTCGGCTGCGGAGAAGAACCATTTTTCTCGCAACCTCTTCCGGTGCGAGATTTCAGCCGTTGCAGCACCGCGCTGTTTTTAAAACGGTCGCAATACTTTATTTTGAAACACGCTGGCATTGTCAGGTGTCCTTGGAGCAGCCAAGGATTATTTACTTGTTTTTAAACCAAACAAAGCTGCTTTTGAATAGTATCGTTTGTGGTCTTAACTTCTAGTTGTCACCCAACTTTTTTTGCGACCATATAAAGTCTTCCTTCCAGGGGTGTTATATTGGAACAGCCATGGAGGGATTCATAGTTCTCTGTCCCGTGCATACAAAACAATAATACAAGTTAAAATAAGATAAGGTTCCCCAACATTGGGAAGTCTGGACATATCTGGAGGTTTGAAAATGGGTTGTTGGTGCAATCACGAAATTATTGCTGTGTGAGGTGACTCTCCACTAGTCACTGGGGTTTCCGCCCTCTTTTGAGATGAACTGCTCTCCAGATTCATCCTTGAATCAGCAAAAAATGATGCTGACATATTAATTTCCTATTGGCAAGCAGGACATGTTGGCTCTCTTTCAATTCACTGTGGTTACCGGAGTTTCCTCCATTTGCAGCTAATCCATTTTATGAGAAAACCTAAGCTAGACTCTATATAGAGCATCTGATGGGATGAATTGCAGCGCATAATAACTTATGCCTTTTCATAAAATGGCTATTTAGAAAATATGCTACCAAACTTTGTTCTACCCCTCCAATCATAAATTAACTTGGTTCGCCTCCTATATTCAGTGGTGGGATCAGCACCAGTTCGGCAGAACCGGTAGCTAATTTTTTGTTGCCCAGGCCCAGAATGGACTTCCGGAAGCGGCATCCACACAGAGAACTGGTTGTTCACATATTTGAATCCCGCCACTGCCTATATCAACTTTTTTCCAAGGATGGTGACAGAGCCTAAAAAATGATCTACAGCCCTTGGATTATTCTGGCATAAAAAAGAACACTTTAACACAGTTAAGCCTGTTTCATGCTGGAGATGAGATGAAGGGAATATCACAGAAACACAGTAGGAAAAAAAAAGGTGCTAGAGCATGTATGTTTCATGGTTGGAGTTACAAAGTGGAGCAAAGCGCTCAGATTGGCACAAGGTGAAGCCGGTCTCAGCTTTCTAGCAAGATGCTACTTCTCTTTCTTTCTCTTTCTCCCCTCCTATCTGTTATTTAAGCATTTAAACCACAATCATTAATAGGAATACAATAACTGAGTTACATAACATACAAAGTTGTAGCTTATTGAATAAACCCCTGTATGACTAGTTGGGCCTGAAATAAGCCATTAAACAATCACAATGGCTAGATTGACACAAAACATGAAGACAAAACTAATTACCCTAACTAAATAGGATATGCAAACCCAGCCAATGAATACCGTGTTTTAAAAATGTGCAGCGAGTTAATATATTTAATGTGGAGATCTCTTATTTGTGCATTTGTTCCCCTCCTGTTTGAGGCAGACAGACTTTGGTGTAAACTCCCAATTAAACACTCATATGCACTCTATATTTGAGGAAGGATCCAATGCTATTTTGAAAACATCTTCCTCATCATAATGCCTCAAGATGTCCCGGAATAAAAACTCCTTTGGCCATGTTGTGATTTCTGGGAATCTATAAGCTGGTATAAAATTTGTGGCATCTCAGCAGATGGCACCACTTGCTCTGATTTGGAAGCTAAACAAAGATGGGATGTTACAACTTGGGAGTACACCAGGACATCTGGGAAGTGAAAAAAAATCCTGAAAATATACAATTGCATATTACTTCTATAATTGTGTCAAGAAGACTCCATGAAGTCATAGTTGATGAGTTCTGCATGAAGGAGTCTTTTTTAATTTAACAAGTAAATTGAGCGCATTGCTAGAGGTCACAATATTACATCATAGTAAAGATATTTCCTGTCAAAAGTTAGACTCCAGAATGTGTGGTTTAAATGGAAGTATTGTTTACATGAGTGACAGTTAGGTAAATAGTTACATGTAACACATTTATAATGCTGTATATGAAGGCTTAAAATTAAATTTTCTATGATTTCCCCATCTTTACATTTTCCAGCCTGCAGGCAATCTTCTGAAATACCGCTAAGAATGATACCCGTTATAGTTGAGTATACCTTGTTATCTTACAGATTCGATAAGGAATCTTTGAGCCTCCAAGTATTGCTGAGTTACAGTTCCTGTCAGTCCAGTCAGCAAGGCTAACAGGTAGGAAGATCAACAGTTGTAGCATTGCCGTTTTTGAAATGCCACACTTTCCTTCCCTGTGCTCTGTATGAATGATGATTTTAGTTTCCCAAATTCTGGCTTTTGTGCAGAAAAGTTCAAGGGAAATATCTACAGAAATAAGATGTAAGTTTGGAAGTAATATAAATTGATGGGGCTAATAAATCAAATAGCAAACCCCCTAAAATCCACCTAGTGAATAACACTTAGTGGTGGTGGAGTATTGGCACACTTAGAGTGAGAAATAGAATGAGTGAAAGGAGAAATATAATGATGTATTCTAAACAAGAGCACCTCACAATTTAAAATTTCATTTCAAGTCCCATTTAGTCTTCCAGATATCAAAACAGGGATGGGTCATCCTCCCAATTATTTATAATTTTGTATATCTGTATGCTAAAGATTTGCAATGTTATCCTTC